GGAAAAACTGGGTGCGAAAAGGGATTACTAGAATCGGGGACCTATGGGACGACCAAGTGCGGGATTGGAAAACATCGGAGCAACTTCAAGATCAACTCAAATATGCCTGTGCCAGGGAGGGCCACTTGGGAGTTGATCTTCTCCGTCCCACTTGACTGGTACCGCATTCTCAAGCAAGGTCCCAAACTCCCAGGGGGATTGGGTGGCGATAGCCGAGAAGCGGGGTTGGGTTGGCCTGATTCATGAGCTTCGTCAGGAGGATGCACTAATTGAACTTTACGCAGTAAGCGGACGAGCCCGGTTAGAGGAACGCAGCGACCCGTTTCAATGGCTGGCCAGAAACCAGATTTTCAGAATCCGGGTGCTCGAGGATGGACAAGACAGGCTGGCTTTCCGACCAGAAACCTCAATCGCCAGGCTCCCGTTCGACCCGCTGAACTGGGGGTGGACACCCCTGAAATCTTCCCCAAAGGGAACCAGAAAAATCTTGTTCCTACACAGACTTTCGGCTAAATCCGCCTACCGGATGCTCCGCCCAAAGAAAAAATTGGTAGACAGCATAAATGAAAGGTGGGGAAAGCACCTTAATGTACCTACAGACCTCCTGAAACCAATCCGGTGGTTCCACGAAACCGAAAAAAAAACGGCGAAGATTACATCTCTGCAATGGCAGATTGCGCACAAATGCCTTCCCACCCAAAACTGGCTGATAGATCACACCAGTTTAGCATAGACGGGGCTTGCGACCCCATGGTGTCCTAGCTGTCTGCAACACTTCCCCCATAGAAAGATACCAGAAACCATCGAACATATTTTTTTGCAGTGCAAGGGGGCAGTCCTCACCTGGCGCTGGTGGAATCGCATATGGAGGCAAAAGATAGGCGATGAGGACTGGCCCTGGGAATGGAGGGCGATACTCACAGGGCATTGGCCTCATGGCCAGTCCTGTGATTTCAGATCCAATATGTTTCAGCTGGGCAGACGAGCCATCCTATGGGCACTGTGGTGGAAACGATGTGTTCTGGCCATCGACAAGGCACGGGTGGAAGGTCCGGAAGTGACAGAGCAAATTAAATCGCACATACAATTAGAATTGCTAATGCGATGGCAAATGCTTGAAAGGCAATTGGCTCTCTTGAGCGATGCCGCAGAGATACAAAAGAAAATTGAAACTTTCGGCAAGGAATGGTTGGGGAGTGAACAAGGGGGATGGATCGCGTCGGTGAGTTGGGAGGGGAGGAACAAGGGGACCGAGTTAAGAACAGACAACCCGCAAAATGGAGCACCTCACAGAGATTACAAGCTGGTCTTCAACAACTGGACTGTCCTAGACCCGATGGAGCCCCTTCGCCCCCCACACGACTTCCCGGACCTCTTCCCCCCAAGTGCCCTGCAATTGTAGATGAAGCATGGTATGGCTAATTGGGGTTGAAACAGTGGGAAGGTGCTCCTCCCCCAATTTCCTATAAGGAACTCTCTTCTGGAGCCCCCCAGGGAGTTTTTCCTTCTAACTAAACAGTGTTACAATCTCCAGCAGAGGTATCGGCAGAGGTATCAGTGCATATTGATAGATCTGGCGCCCTGAGGGTGAAGAGATACGGGAGATAAGGGCTACATCATGATGGATTTCACAACACCTGCTCAGTCAATCCTCTGTAGACAGGGTAATCAATGCTGGCAGGACTCACAACTACGATGCTTACTCATTCTCAGAAGGGACGCTGGACCCAGCAGGTGACGCTCCCCACCAATAGATGGAGCCTCTCCCCCGGTCTTAGTGGTGTCTGCTCTTATCAGCAGCACTAACACTGAGGGGGGGTGTTTTTTTAATAAAAAAAAGAAGAAAAAAAAGAAAAAAAAAAAGAGAGTCTGCGTTGGAGCTGCACTGTCCCTTCCAGCTCCAATGTCATCTTTCTTCTTCCTCACCCCTTTGTTCCGACAGCGGCGGGACCACCATCCCGGCGGGTCCGTCACAATCGGTGGGGAGCAGCATCTGCTGAAAAGCGGGTCCAGCGTCCCTGATATACCAAGCGGTCGTTTTTGAACTTAGTGGCCCGAGATCGGGACCTATGCAGTTTAACCACTCTCTATGACACCTGTTGTTACTATTATCCACCTTATATGTTTCTCTTCCCTTTGTCGCCTAATGCTAAGTCCCCTGTTTAGGAGATTGAACTGGTGATGAGGTCTTCCAGGGTTGTCCTTGTCATCAAGTAATCCCATATGTAGTCATGGTCCTGCTCAAACTGTCGTCAGCAGACTTGCCCAGCCAGGGCTTTGGGCTCGCTAGTACAGCAGTCGGCAAGAGGGGGAGTGGGATTCGGGGAGGGGGGGAGGTGCCTGGTAGGGGTT